TAAACATTGAAGATTGATCATAACCTATAATTTTAGCCATACGTAATTTGATATTTTCGTTGCATATATATGAATATCTATAGTGTATAATACAAATATATAATTGTGCTGTCACCATGGCAATAATTTGGCGAATAAAGCCTTCCAGCGAAGGTGATGCCATTAGTTTATGTGGAAAAGGGAAGACTTAGAATACAGTGATTCACAACATGCAATTTCATATTAGAAAATGTTCAGAGCACAAGAAGTTGTCCCATATCATCCTCATATTTTCCTCGAGAATTTCAGAAATCGAGCTGACTTCAACCTTCTCTTCCTGAAAATTGAAAGAAAAGGAGCCAAAGCTAAATCTTTGATGATCGTACGAATAATCAAGTTCAATGTCATTAAGGCAAAGCTAAATAAGCATCACCCTAGTAACTAAAGGGGGAAAACTATCCAATTTTCAGAAGAGGTCTGAACTAAAATTTTATTCAGTTGATGCTGAATGGATATTTGTTCCATGAGACATCATCCTTATGAATGGCACAGTACTAGCACTACATGTTATTTTTTTAAAGAAGATGAGGAGGAAGAGGAAAGTTTTGCAAGCATGATTTAAAATGCTGGTTGAGCTTTAAAATTCAGAACTATTGAATTCTAGTAGCACATTGAAGTCAGACAAAAATGAGGTCTCTCCAATGCCTAGACGAATTTAGTATATACAGTGGGAAGAGGAAAATATCCCAGAGAAAAGGCAGGCAATTACCTGTAACTTTGACAAGACCTTTTTCAACATCAGACTAACCTCCCAGGTAGCTTCCCCAGTTGAGGTCCTAAAATCAAATCGATCAGCATGTCTTACCTTCAGTCTTAATGATGGATTTGTATACATATTAGCTATTACGTGCCAAATCCCAACAACTTTGTATCTATCTCCAGAAGACTCCTTCCCCAGCGGCCATCTCAACCCACCCTTCACATCTGGATCTAGAACCGCAGAACTAATCAGATCCCTAATGCTTTGCATCTCATCATCCTGAAATAGAAATGGATTAATCTGATCACAGAACCTCAATCCAAGATGCAAGAGTTCATCAAGGGATCCAATGTGGTTAACCCTCATTGTCCCACCACATTATTAGTATTTCAACAATTTCTCTCATCTGTTTCAATTGTGGATCTATACTAAATAGATTATAATTAATTCCTTGAACTTCTTCCCCCAAAACAACAAAGAATAGAACTGAAAAGTTTAAAAGGTATTCGGTTAAGAAACTTACACTCAGAGCTGTTACAGGTCTCTTCGTGCTTAGCATCACTCTCAGGTCCAGATTCTTATTAGGGCATGATATGTCTATGACCATGTCACGAAGTTGATTTAGTTCAATCTGTAAGAAAGCTGACATTTTGATGTAAGTCTCAATAAACAGACTCTACAAGAAGCAATAGGGAAAAACAAGGGAGGAGAGATTCAAGGGATTCGCAAAGCCCATCATACTTTATTCAAAAAACTGGAGAGTTTAATCATATTCACCTGATGACCATTTAATTTTCTTATACGACACTGGTATTTGCAGTACAATAAACTATATTTAGTCAATAACTTTGCAACAAAATCATGATTTGTTTCATCCAATTTAGTTTACATGAATTAGAAAACTTACCTTGTAAAGTTGTAGCTTTCCATGTTCTTTCATTACAATACATTTGCAGGAGAGAATTGAATCTGGTCTTGTTGAATCAGATAACTAGACAAGAAGGAAATAAATGAGGGATTCAATAGAGAAAATCCGAAATATGGAAAGCATGAATTCAGTAAGTTGATGTGCATGCAAAAAGAAATACCTTTACTTGGTATACATCCTTCTCCTCTTCAAAATCAACTCCAATGTTTGGGACAACTTCCTTTAGAATGTTTTCCTTATATGAAACAGGAAGATTCGTGTAAAATGACCTCTTCCACTGTTTCAAGATTTCAGTATCCAAATTATTTCTGATAGATTCCATGTTAACTGAAGGGCTCCTGAAGTACAAAGATTCGAATAACATTTGGTTTAGATCTGGTCATGTACAACTAAGGAATATAACATGGTTTTCCATTGCTACAGAACTAGTACAAAATATGGATGATTGACAGTAACCAAGAATCAAAATCAACAAATTATTGTATTAAGTAAGGCGTAAATTAATGTCGTAGTAAGTACGGTTTAGTATCTACACTACACAGAAAAACAAAGGCAGGGTTTCAGAATCCTGCTTCACTGTCCAACTTGGTATCCTATCTCCTAAGATAAAAATGCCAAAATCTAGCCAACCAATATTCTTAGGCTCAAAAGAAGGATAAAACGCATGAATCAAGTGAATGAATGGCACAATAGGCTGAATAGCAGCAAGTATATAAGAAGGAAATCTAACCTCTGAAAAAGTACTTTTCCCACTCTAGCAACCAACGACGGCTTTACTTGTTCAAGCTTTGGGCACTTCATATCATTCTTCACATTTTGAAAAGAAGAAAGTAGGTCTTCCAGCACATTTTCTGCTAACGATACCCAAGGGCACTTTGGCAAGTACCAATTCACCTCACTACCTTCTATCAAGTATCAACAAAGAAAAACAAAAACAAACAGACCAAGTAAGCAAAATAAAATTACAAGATAAATGCACTAAAAGAAATATTAGAGCACTAACCCTTATCTAGACTAGTATTGATTAAAGCTAGAGGCTTTTCTCCAGTTCTCCTCTCAGTGGTTTCCCAGGAAATGGGCTCAAGATTAACAGAGGATGGAAACTGGTTCTCATCATCCAAACCAATGATGCACCATCTCGATCTAGCATGGTTTGCATAAATTACCTTTCCATCCAAATCCGCATTAGATTTAGACGATCGCAAATTCAAATTTTTCTTGAATTGAGGAGCAAGTAGCTCCGGAGTTGGCAACGGCCTCTCCGTTTCCTTTGAATGCCGCTTGTGCGGTGGGATGTAAGCCATTATAAATCTAGCACTTAGGCCTGAAAGAAAAGATCAAAGTGAGGCCAAAAAAATAAGTTGATGAAAAAATTGCAATGGTTGCTCATGTTTATATTGGACAAGGTTAGAAGTTGGAAGAGAGTAGTTAAAGTTATAGAGCAAGAAGTATCCTTTCCCATGTTTTGTGAAGAAAATCACACTAATCTCAGTCCCTGATCCATTTTCTAGCTGAGAACAAGTGGGAAATTGAAGTAAATTGAAACCTTTTCTTCGTATAATCGTAAAGTGAGAGTCTGATTATACTCGGTTTCGTTCCTATGAAATTGATCATTCAGCAGCAACTATCACACCAGACTTTCACTGGGTTATCATTTTGATCGCGTTTTTGGAGCCAAATACAGAGTCGAATTCATATTCACACAAAACAGAGCAGATTATTGATTCATAGCAGATAGATGTGAAAAGTTGAAAGACAGACCAAACTTATACAAGCACGCCGGGAAATGATGAAGATGAAAACAGATGTGCTCAATCGCCACTTCTTCTTCTTTACCAACGCTTTACTCTTTGGTGTGCATTGCCTTTTAAGTTTCTCTATTAAAAAACAAAAAACAAAAAAAACTTTTCTTTAACTTTTTTTTTCTAAATTTTCTCTGAGGTTTTCATAATGAGGAAATTTTTGTACTAATTTAATAAACGCAGAAGAAGCAATTGACATATATTTTTACACAATTATTCAGGTCACCTCTTTCTTCAGAAACATTACCATCACTCACGTACATAAATTATTCTGATATCATAAATAAATCATCATCATCTCACGCACTAGCGGATCCAGAATTTTTTTAGCGAAGGTGCAATATTGACTAAATATGAAAATGGTTTTTCGGAATAATCATTTTCTCAAAATAATTTTTGGCGGCTTTTATTCCTTATACATCAAATAAGAAAACTTGATTTTATGGGATTTTAGTATGAAGTATATATTGACTTAATGAGCCATCATTTTTAGCCTAAATCGTATTTTGCACTAAAACCGAATTGTCATATTTTTATTTGGTGGGAATTTGATTTTCTAGTATTTTTATTTGAATCCAAATGGGAGGTACTTTCTTATTTACATTGTAAACTTAAGTAAATGAAGTAATATAAAAATAAATAAAAGTAAAAAGACAAAGACATAGCTTTTATTGTAATGGAAGACAAAATAGGAGTTTAATAGAATATAGAATAAGGATATACTAATCACGAACACCGAATTAAGCAGAGCAAATCACTCTCTAATTAACTACTTAACAATGAGTCCAGAGGTCCACGTCACCCAAGATGGAGTCGTCCCATTCCCATTTGTTGTGCTTGTTGACCCCATCATCATCAGCAGGATCATCATCTTGATCATGTTCTCCAACTCCCTTAAATGGAAGGCCCTCCATTGGAAAATCACCCATATTAATCCCATCATTAATATCTTCTTCTTCCACACTTAGAACATTCTTGTTGCTCTCATCATGCTCTGCCTGAAACATCTGATTCTGGCCATCTCCAATATTGCACAGCATTGGCATTGGCATTGGCGTTGGAATTTGTGTGCGGCTGCTGCTGCCCCCTTCTTGTGCTAGTAGATTAACTGGTTGACAAAAATTGTTACTTGGAGCTTGGTCTAGAGCTGTTGAATATGGCCTCTTTGAGTTTGTGCTGGCATAGTTTGAGGCTCGGGGTCTCATGGCTTGCACATTCCTTGCACAATGCTTGTTCTTGTCTTCATCTTCTTGAGCATTTAGCTTCTTGCTCAAGTGACAATTCCAGTAGTTCTTCACATCGTTACCGGTCCTTCCCGGAAGTCTAGCTGCAACTAATGACCACCTGAAAAATAAATTTCTCAGGTTTCTAGATGCGTGCGGTTTACGAGTGATTACTACATTATATATGTAATAGAGGAATGCTATTCACTTGCCTATTCCCTAGGAGCTTTTGGAGCTTGATGATGAGATCAATTTCCTCTTCTTCAAAGCTCCCTCTCTTGATGTTTGGGTGGAGATAGTTTAACCACCTCAGCCTACAGCTCTTACGGCACCTGTTTAGACCTTAATACACCACAATCCAATATATATCACCACCAGGCATACATTTGAATTTGATGGATTAACAGTGAGACACTTAACTTAACAAAAGCTTACCCTGTTCGTCCTCATCAACTTAATTTGATCATCGTTAAAAGTTAAAACGCCATCCATATACAATGTTTATAATATACATATCTTCTAAAAGGGCACACTTCAAAGCAGATAAATTCACAAAGAACCCAACCAAAATGCCTCTTAGAAAAGGGTGTGTTGCATTATTGCATAGGGAAGTTGAAATGTACATTTGATTTTGCACAATATAACACCCTACCTTAAAGCTATGAGGAAGAGTTTCCCTGTAGCATGCATATAGAAGTGGTATTACCCACCCTTTTCTATGCATATTGATAAGATGTAACTTTTTTTCGCCTCACTCATTTCATGTCACTTGAGCTAAGTTTAATTCGAGAAAGTTTTCATTTTTATATTTGAGTATAGACCATCTTGGCAAAATTAATTATATCGGAACTCCGACCCTGCTTGTAAATTTAGACTTATATAGCCTGTAATTGTCAGATGGCATTAATTGAACAAGTTGAATAATTAAGTCATAAGTTTCATGTCAAAAGAAGAAATTGATCAGTACTCATTGAAAAATCCAATTAGAGTATAATGATGGAAAAAGTTGTGAAATAATTGAAGGCAATAGAATGAAGTTAATAGCATACCAGCCAAGAGAGGGACGCGATGCCATTTGCCTTCTCCATACTGCTCTATGCATTTCCTGAGCAATTGATCTTCTTCCTTTGTCCATGGAATGCCACCCATCTCTTGATCTCCCCTCCTGAATCCTGATCCTAAATCTCTACTCTCTCATGTCTCATCTGATGCAGAATGCAAAGTTGAATATATCTAATGTCGCTGCAGCCAACGACTTATACATATACACCATATATATTCTACTATTTTGTCCTTGTTCTTTTCTAGCGCCTAACACACCAAAATGAATGCCTGCAGCATACGCATATCCACATGAACTAGAAATTTAGAACATGGCCAATGGTCCATCTTCTTTCTACGACAGTATGGCTCTATGTATGTTTATAATGAGGCAGCATTATTATGTCTTTTGCGATACATCTTTTTCAAAATTTGGCCAAATTAATAACAGCGCTATATATATTATAAATATCCTCAAATTAAAGTCTGTTGATGCTGCATTTGCTTGTTATTTTCTAGCTGCTAGTTGACCTTTAAACTCAAATTTCTGCAACCTATATAGGAGGGGAGGAGAGCACTTAAATATGTATTGATCGACTCGATCAGACATGAGCACAGGTGACAGATCAGAGAGCCATAAGGGAGGGACCGCCATGTCAATTAATAATGTTATATCGTGCAGTCCATATGAATATGAAAGAAGCAAAGGTGCAAGGACCATGCATTTGCATTGAATTTGCATTGCATGCATGCGTATAAAACTGGACTGGACCACATATTTTATCTGAAATCTTGCTTATTCACAAAACAAAAGTGGCCTGATTTTGTGGCGCAGGCAGCAATTTGATTCCGTGTTTGAACAGTTTATCGATATATTATTGTGTGAGCTCTGTCGTGTAGCTTGCCTAGCCTAGCTTGATGATATAATACTTCTTCACCGGTCTTTAAATCTGGGAAGCTTGGCTGGTGACATTGAAAACGACCATGACAATCATATGCAATATTGTCCTCTGAAAATTACAAGCCCACATGCAAACATTGAGATATTCTGGCACGCAGTGCAGATTGATGTTTTCCAACCTTCAACCCCTGCAATGCAACTCCTGATTGCCCCATTAATTAGGTTTTTAGGCAATTATTATAACATAACTAACAAAGCTAGAATAACATAAATCTATTGAAGACTGAAAGTGACCCTCACTTGTCACTACCAACATGCATCCAAATATTTGTTCAAGCAATAATTCTGAGGCTGATGGTCACCAAACATAACATATATACCTCACAATCATCCCAACAGATCAAAGAACTTAATATCAAAGTGATTGACCAAAACAAAAAGCATCAAAGTAAAGATTTTTATGGGCTACCCCGTTACATAGTTTTTTGATAGATCTAAGCCCAATAAAAACCCAAATGAAGAAACATCCAGCCCAAACCATTTCTTTAGTGGGTCGTTTTTTAGACTACATCATTTCATTAATACTCTCATTTACGTATAATTTCTCTCTTATGTTTCTATACGAAAAAAGCACGAAGACTCTTTTTTAGAGTGCTAATAATAGTACGAAAATGTTTCCCTCTTTCCGGCCTGACCACGCCGGAACAGAAAGTGACTATATTATAGAGCAGAGTTTTAATAAAAGTGAATACACTATATAAACCACACCACTATATGTACGAGGCATTAACGCGTTAGGTGACCATAGAGAGAGAAATAAGATGATGAGGAGAAGAAATAAGGGGGCTTTGATTTTAGTGGTCATCCCACGTGAGAAGCCTTTGTGGTTGTGAAATGTGAATAAATGGGTGAATTGTGGCGTCCTTTTTATTAACTCATTGGTCGGTTGCTAAATGAGACATTTGTCGTCTCTGTCAGCTCAGCTTACGCTGTGCTGTGGAATTATCAATACAATGACATTGTTGACTTTTACACACACACACACACTCACTCCTCCCTTCTTCTTCGTCTTCTATGTTGTGGGGCCCACGCCCACCCTCCCCGAGTCCCGTCCCCCGGCCACAGGCTAATACTCTTGGCAAAACACGTCTGCTTCCGGTGTGTTACTCGTGGCATCCTTTCCTTGTGCATGACATGAGATTGGTCAACAATATATATACAAGACATTTGCACGATCCCCAAAGCGGTGCCTTGGAGTCAAAGTTATTTAACAATTTCTCCACCGAAACCGACTTCAGCATTGAAACTATAATCATACTGCTGCTAATAAATTTAAGGCACAACCAAAGAAAGAAGAAGGAAAGAGTCAAAACTTTTACACTCCTCGATTTCCTCCACGCCTTTACGCCCCTTGCGTTCTGCCGCGGTTGACGAACTTTTGTTTTTCTTTCTTTTGTCCTATAAAATAAGGGGTTTTTTTTTTATGAAAAAAATAATCTCTGGCAAAATGGTGCAATGTCATTTGAGGATGTTTTTCAACACTTGATTTTGACTGTAATGTATTAATAATGTTTGTTTTTGCAATCCCAGATTCACAGAAGGCATATATTCACATGAACTTGTGGCATTGGTGGGTGCTGCTGTTCCTGTTTTGGTCTTTTTTATTTTATTCACTTGATTCCAACTTCTGGGATTTGACTATCCAATTTCCACTAGCACTGTTGCTTGCCGCTGAGCAGGGCAGGGCAGAGTTAACCCGAATTGAATATCAGTTTATGGGTCGGTTGAAGCCCAATTACAAATAGGTCTGGGTATTGGGTAAGTCCAAATCCAATCTAACTCGCTGTTGTTGCAAATAGTGTATTTGGGTTGTGGTCTTTTTAGCTAGTATTGTTGTTCATGTTATATAGCTGTTCACAATCCACATGATATCTGCTGTTGCAAATGGCAAATACTGTTTGCTGGATTCGGGCTGGGAAACGGACAAGATCCCAAAATGGTGGGGGTGAACTTCTCGAAAAGCGCTTCTTCCCGAAAGTGACTTTTTAGTAGCTAGAATAGAACCACCTCCAAAATCCGAGTCCAAACAGTAAAGCAAAGCAAGTTTGGCAGCAGACCTACACTACATATATATATATATATATATATTAATTAATAATTATACTTGGCTAGCAGCCTGGCATTATAAATAAAATAAATATTCAAATCCTTTTTCACCTTGGTCACACACGCACAGTCACACCCACCCACCGGTTACCTTTCTCAGATTTCTTTTTCTGCAAGAGAAGAGAAGAGTTGAAAGAAAGAAAGAATTCACATTTCTCATCTTAGGGGGGGGAACCCCAAGGAATGTGGGGTCCACCTACCAGTCTACTGCGTGGACCGAGGAAAACCCATCTTTTAATCACAGGCATGGTGGCAATGTGGCATTTCCAGATTGAGGAGTTGGATAAACATCGTCAACCACCACAAAGCACTCCAAAAGTAGCTTTTAACTCTCTCTCTCTCTCTCTCCCTATACAGTATACTTACTTACTATGGTGTAGTTGCTGCTGCAAACTGCAAACATATATTGCAGAGGCAACAGTGCCCATCTCCCTAAAACAAGGCTCCTTCATTACAACCTTTTTTCTGCCCCTTGCCTATGACTAGGACATCTAATTCTAAGCTGTCTTTCTTTGTTCAGACTCAGAGCCTGTGCTGCTACTATTACTGTGTATGTATGTATGTATGTATATGCTACAAAACTAGTAGCAGCAAGGACCAAGATTTGAAGATCATCTCTCTCTCTCTTTTTCCTAGATTCTCTCTCTTTAACTCTGACCAGAATTTATATCCTCTCTGAGCCTGAGCCCCCTCTCAGGAATCACCCCAGACCCAGACCCCTCTTTTACCTTTTTGCTCCATTCCCCTTCCTCCCCTTTAATTTCCTCCACCTTTCTCCCTACTTTGCGATTCAAAAGTATCCCACCTTTATTTATTGGCATTATCTGCCAAAACCAGTGTTCACAACAACACAACCCACAAACAAAACAATGGATGTAAGTTTTTCTCCATACCATCAATGGCTTTCCTCTTTTTCAATTTGGTTTTAATGTTTGTTTCATGGTTTTATTTATTGGGTTGTGAATGTATGGTGATCAGCAGGACTACTATAAAAGGAGTGGTCAAATACCGGCATTTGGAAACTGGGATTATGCAAACGAGCTGCCAATCACCCAGTATTTCGAGTGCGCAAGACAGGCCGGTTTGATCAGATTCAGCTCTTCCTCTGGTGAAAGTGCTGATGCCTACGTTCGTCCTGCTGACTTTTATGCTGTTAACCATCTCAACAAGCCTAAACCCTCTCGAAAGGTTCTGCCTTTAATCTCCATTCAACTTTCTTTTTTATTGTCTGCTTTTTTAAGTTTGTCTTGTTTTCATTCCCATTGCATTTGCATGTTCAGTGTGCTGCTCCTGCTGGGGATATTTTCCGTACAAAATGGGTGTGAAAGGATATATCTTTCATTCATTTCAAAATTAGAGAACTATATTACCTAGGACTTCATTTGGGGGCTAATTAATTTCACCTATGACCCAAACTGAGCTGGCTTCTCTATCTCTAGGGAGGTAGGCCTCTTTTATTCTTTGAATTAATGTGAAGATTGACTGATTTAAGTGGCAACTGATTCCTCTAACCAAAATTACCCAGTTTCAAGCTTAGGCCAGCCAAGTGTCACGGGTGCGACCGTCCGTGACCCTGTTGGGACATCTATGCGCTTACTAATGTCTCATCCGATTGCACATAAATTATTCGAACACATCCCCGTACATTACAGTAGTTTAGAATCTCACCAAAAAGTAAGTGCTGCTGGTGGTGGTGGTTATGAGACTAAGATTTTAGTTTGCACATTTTGTTTGAAAATATATTGATTTTCTTGGTGACCAAACAAAGAAACAAGTATGCACCACATTAATGTGATTGAGAGAAAGTGGTTGGTGATATATAAATTAGAATAACGAGATGGACAAGTGTGAATTTATGACAATGCTGTTTTTGGAAATATTGCAGCAGCAGGCAGCACCAAGAGTAGGGACGAGGGAAAAGCGAGGCCCGCGTGCGCATGTCATGGAGCAAAAGAAGCAGCAAGCTAAGGTCTGTGACGTGACGCAACCGCCAACTAAACACTACGAATATCATGTTCAACAATCAAATCGCACTCGTTCGAACGACGCCGTTCCGAGAGTAACCCCTCGTTTCCCCACTAGGCCTCCAAAGCCTGTGGACGAAGATCTCTACAAAATCCCCCCCGAGCTTCTCCATAAGACCAAACGGGTGTGTGTCTGTGTCGTGTCTTTCTTCTTCTCTTATATTTTATTTTTCCTCAAATTTAATAAGTCAAAAAAGTGTGATGTGTTCTCACCGAAAAAGAAGAAAAGAGGTAAGTTTGATGCATGCACTGAGTTTGATATCATGATGGCCTCCAGAGCGGCTCTTAATTTCAAACCCATTACATTATGGACTCTTATCTATGATGTGACATCATACTAACTCTGTCTTTTGATGTTTTTCAACACTCGACTTTAATATGTTTTGTTTTGTTTTGTTTTTTAGAAGAAAATGCTGGGATTGCTTTGTTGCTTGGTGCCAGCATGTGCTTCATGAATCTGGGATATCCATCTCTCTCTCTCTCTCTCTCTCTCATCGCTGCTCTAGCTCGTACAAATCCTACTAGTACTACAAAGGAAAGCTGATCTCATTCTCATCTGTGTGTGTATGTGTGTTGTTTTTCCTCAACATGTGTGTCTTGTGCTTGTATTGTATGAGATGAGATGGAACCAAGCTATGAAATGAATCAAAATTGGATACGTTAATGCCAGCTTTTGTGGTTTTCTTTATCTCAGTTTCCCTTTTCTTCGCAATTTTGTTATCTAATGCCAATAAATAATTGAACAAGATATGGAAATTGAGAGAAGAAACAAGTTGGAAATAATTGACCCTCTTGCCTTCCCACCCACCGCTCCAATCCAACTGGTACTTGGAACCTAGTCTGCTCTGCAGAGTCCAGTCAAGTCATTTGGTTTAGCTATAATTATTTGGACTTGTACGTTGGGCTTCTTTTTAAGCTTTGGGCCTTTGAGGAGATTTCCAGAACCCAAAAAAGAGTTGGGCTTCTTTTCCTTTATCTTGCGTTTGCTTCTGCTTCCAAACATCTTGACTTTCTGCCCATCTTCAATTATTATTGTTAGTTGCTGAACTGAAACAATGTTTGTGTTGGTCCACCAGTTATAATTTATAGTTGTTTGTGTTGGTCCACCAATTATAATTTATAGATATAAGCAAGTTAGTAGTATGTCATGTCTCCCTCAGATGGGTGCTCAACTTGCTGATAAGAAAGCACTTGAAAAAGCTCAAAAATAAGAATATTCTTTGGTTGAGTTGAGCCACTGTTTTGGTTGTATCTCTGGTTTTTGCATGCAACAGCACCAGTCGGACCAGTCCCCAGTTTGTTTCTTTTTTCAAAAGTCCATGTTTTGGGCCGGGAAAAGGAGGAGAAGAAGAAGAAGAAGACTGCACAAAACAAGGGATCTAAAATTTCCATGCCCGCTGATTTTGGACTTTCATTATCATAAACATTCTTTAAGCAGAGAATAAAGTTGTATTAAACATTTTCATGATCTTCTTCTTTATGGCATTGCCGTTACATTACTTGTCAAACTCAAAAAGTGCTTCTCTCTCTCTCTCTCTCTCTCTCCCACCACAACACCCCTTATATCTTTGGACCACTCAACCGAAAGCAAGTAATAATAGAAACTAGAAATGAAGAAACTTTCAAACTAATTTGTACATGGTTCAGAAGAGACAGACCAAAAAACAAACGCACTACATGCCAAACGTATATCTATCTATTGAAATGAAATTGAAGCCAACGAGCCAGCCCAGGGCCAGCCATTCGGGTTTCCAAATATCATGGTGAAATTATATTCCTCCGTCCTCTCTTTTTGGTACGAAAATATTCAGATTCTTCATGCATGCTTGTTTTTTTTTTATATAATAAATTATTTTCAGCAAAGATGGGATGGGACCAGCAATAGCAAACGACACAAGATGATAGGCTGCACATGAGTTGTCCTGTTTATGTATCCAAAGTGTCTTTGGGTTTTATATTGTCTTCTAGTGAAGTGTTTTTTGTATGCATCGTCCGATGTGTGAGATTTTTTATTTTCTTTTTATTTGTACAACAATCTAATAAGAAACCTAAACTCTATCGACCATTGAAAGCCAATCTGCCGTGAGAATTGGATTCTGATGTTCACCCACTGTCATGTCATGTCATGAACAATGTGCATTGTGTACTGTCTTTCAAATTCATGGCTAGCCCAGCCATTGAAGATAGGAAGGGACAACAAGTTGTTGGAAAAGTTGATATTTGTTAATGATCAAGCAACAGGTAACAACTTGTTAATTAATAAACAAGGTTTATGAGTAAGTTAATTAATAAAAAATCGTACTGATAGTTTAATTTTCAACAAATTTATGCCTAACAAATAAAAACAAATTAATATTTGTACACTACTGTGGCCAACCAGAGTCTTTCTAAGCATTTAGAAGGCAAACGAATTATAGAAGCGATCATTCGCTGGCATACAGACGTAGTTGGAAAATTAGGCCTTGCAAGTAATGCAGTGGTTGTAAGTTTCTAATAATAATAAAAAAATAAAAAAAGACAAATGAAGTTATACAGCCGCATTGTATTTTGTATTTCACTGATTTAAACCGTCTATTTTGTATACATAGATACAGCCGCTTCCTTTCACTCGGTGTTAACATCATTAAATTAAATTATTCTAAATAGTAGTTCACCTACCTTTATGAATTCTTCTTTTTCGCTCAAGGAAATATTATTAAAAATGTTGAGAAAGGTACGTTATTGGAATGACGAGTCAGAGGCAGCATGAAATACTAGATTTCAGCATCAGTCTGCGCTTAATTTGCCCTTTTCCCTTCTTTTATAATTAAAGTTGTAAATCTGATGGCGCCGTCCAAATATGTCATTATCAAGCTTTATAATTCTGGTTTAGTACTTTATCCACTGCTTAACTGGTGTATTTAATCAAGGGGGGTTAAGCAATTTGGTGGTCAGCCTTGCCGACACTCTTAAACAAAACAATGGACTGGAGACCCTACAGGCCACAGGTCCTGTAATTCAGCAAAGCCGAGTATGATCATCATTAATTCAATCAAATAATCCAAATCAAACTACACATGTTGGCATTTCAAACACAGCTGGCACAAACTGGACAAGTCAGAAAATAGAAAAATATACCGGTTATGAATTCTTTTGTGACCAAAGAGAGGTCAAGTTCCAACGACCTTTACATGTCTATATGCCTGAAATGGACTAAAACTTGCCTAGGAGATCGACTCAAGTAATGTGTACAAATCTGTGAAACTTTTTTTTTTTTTTTTTTTTTTTTGTACAGGTAAGGGAGTATGTATAGCGACCAGATATAGAAAGGACATTTACATGGGTGATGGGATGATACCTTTTTGGGGAGAGAGCAAAAAACAAGACAAAAAGTTTCATTTCCATCAAGCAGTGTGCGTTATTGAGCCAGTCTTATTCAGCCTCTCAAGAATTCCACTGGCCTTTCTCTTGGCCCTCGAAGTCCCGGTCCTTGCAAGTCTGGAAACTGTACCATTGGCCATTTCCTCTTCCTTAATTTCCTTCAATTTGGTCCGATCAGCAAAGCAGATGGTGTAAAGGATTGCAATACAATTCTCCTTGTTGTGCTCACAATCGCTCTCCCTTATGATGCCAAACAAGCAAGATACAGTGCCAAGCTCGCACATTTCCTGAACAGCCTTCTGATGGCTAGAAAGCATAGCAAGTATAGCCAACAACTCCGCAACTAACACGCGATCCATTATCTTCTGCAGAATTACCCTGACTGCTCCAGCATTGATGGCCCTTCCTTTATTTTCAAGAACACTACACAAGCTGAATATGGCTGAAGCAACATCTTTCATGGCCAGTGGATGCCCCTCATCTAAAAGGTCAATCAAAGGATTGAGAGCACCAGACGTTCCTATAATAATCTTGTTGGAATCAATGGCTGCTAATGTGAAGAAAGTTGCAGCAGCATTGCTTTTTGTTTGAATGGTTCCAGATATTAAGGATTCAATCAGCAGAGGGATGACCAAGGGATGCTCTGCAACCAATCTTTTGTTATTATCATGAATTGAAAGGTTTAGTAGTGTTGTGATCAAATCTTCATGAAGATCAGGATCAGTATCAGCCTGCCCCGGTGAAAGTGGACTGAGCAATTGTCGAATGGTCTCAATAGACTCACCAAAAAGTGCCCGAAATGGTGAACTTCGCTTCGTGAGCAGTCGAAGCTCTTTTGCTGCTTCTTTTTGATCAGATAGGGATGATGACATCTTCTGAAGCAACGAATTTAGATATCCACGGTCTGCATTGGTGACAACTTCCTCATCAATATCCTGAACAGGTTTTGGAAGCTCCATTCCATGCTCCCTGCACCATTGTGAAATCATTTCTCGAACCAGATGATTAGGGGTAAGGACAGTATGAGAGAGGACTTGCTTTGTTTGAGGGCATGTTCGGTTGCCTTCATTCAACCACCTCTGGATGAATGGCCGGTCATAAGTCTGTAATCCAATAAAAATATGTAATACAGTGAGTCTGCATTTCATTTAGAGAAGTAGAAATTATAAGAAACTGCAAGAACTCAAGGTGAGATTTCAAATGATACTACCATAATTGTAGCACAAAGGCAGCGGTGATCTGATCCTAAATAATTCATAAATGCAACAAAATGTGATGCTTAGTTAGTTGTTCTATATCGACTCTGCCGTGTCAGCACCAGCCCAAATTGGGCTGTGCCGTGAAAGATAGCAAAAACCTCATCGATTCCTCTCACTCTTTATGAAGTTTCCTTTTTCATGAACAAATAACTCATTAAGGGTTGGTAGGACTTAGGAAACCCAGCTGTCATACGGGGTTTGAGACATACATCAAGATTTTATGATCACAGTTCACCTTAGATGTCCACTTCAAGCAATAATCCCTATTTAATCAATGAAAGCAATTCAAAGAATGACTACAGGTTTTTTTTTTCCCGATGTAGTCGTTATCAAACAACTTTCTTCTTCTCCCATTATAATGGAGGATGACATGTGAATTACTGACAAGATTCTTTTAAACTTAGAAAACTCTTGAGATCAAACATATTCTCCAAACAGGTCCTCTGCAATGAAAAGAAGGGAAAAAGGAATCACAGAACACGATGAAAAAGAAAAACCACAGAACAAATTATTAAAGTTAACCCGACTGTCCATTTGTTAGTGTGGAATTGGGGTTCTGAAGCCTGGAAACACAATTCAAGTCTGGTCTTGAAAGATTAAGCAGAAATACAAGAACCAAAAAATTCTTCGAAACCCAACACCGAAAGTATTCAGAATTGACGATATTGATACCAAAGAAAGCGGAAAAAAGACGCAAAGCCCAAGATTAACAATAATCAAAATCTCCAACCCATGAAATTCTTGCATGCATATTCAAATTGGCCAGGAACTCATCAAAATCCAAATAGCGGCAAAGAAAATTCAAGACAAATCGAAATGAAAGAAATATACACTCAAAGAAATCAAAGGGAGATAAAAGAAAAGAAATTGTAACCTGTCCAGTGGCCAAGACAACGGGGTCCTTCATGAGTTCTCCAGAGATGGGACATCTGAAGTCTTCAGGAACATCAAGAAGATTGCCATGGCCATCAAGTTTGAACGACAGAGACTTTTTTAGCTTCAAGCCCTTCAAAGAAGACAAGGCACTGATAGCCTCATCAGCAGTCTCAACCCTGTAGTCATCTTCATCAACAATGGCCTTGACCAGTCTCTCCAACTGCTTCTTTATCTCCATGGCCTTTGCTGCCACCATAGACGAGTCACTCTCAGTCTCAGTCTCCTCCAAGACACCTGTCCTGGCCATTTGCGAAAGACAAAACAAGAAGAAAAATGGAGATCAGGGTTGCTGATTATTTTGGGTTCAGATGAATGGGTTTGTCAAAGAGAAACAAACGTGGAGAATTGTGGGCTGCTTCATCATCTGTCAGAGAGAGAGAGAGAGAGAGAGAGAGAGAGACCCGGAGCCAGAGCACTGAGAGAGAGCAGCAGAGTGTGTCTCTGCCTATACTCTGTTTCTTTTTCTCTTTCTTTCTTGAGAATTTTTTGTTTTCTGTGTTTGTGACTTTGAAGAAATATTATGACACGCAAAATTCCGTTTCAACGGGCACATGTTGTAAGGGTAGTCGTCCTAACAATATGTACTTTGTCAGTGAGTGATTAAGTCACCAGGTGTGGTTGGTATCTACCATCAACTGTTTGCCAAAATGAAATTATACAACTTTATAAGGGCCCAGTTGGTAACTTTGCATAACTTCTGTATCTTTTATTTATTTATTTTATTTTTTCATGTAACTTTTGTTTGGATGATGAACTAAGATGTATAAATTATTTATTTAATGGGAACTAATTTTACTCTCACCAAATGCATGAATGTTTGAATAAATAACCCTTTTGTGTCCACTGCTTGCCACCCATGATGTAAAATCTTTCAAAGTTTAGGAAATTCATCTCCATATTCTGCAACGTATCTGGATCCATTAGTCATACCCACACAAAAAAAATGAAAAAGACGACCAGGTTACAACTATTCAGTTCTTTTGAAAATACAAACTCAAACCACTCTGTTCTTTGCGCCTCATTTAAAGGTTTCCATTAAAAAAAAAGAAATGTGAAACTTGTGGTTAAACTGATAAACTAAACCTAACCTTAGTAACAACCATTAAACAACTTTTTAGGAGAACCGGGTGGGTGTAAGTAAGTATCAACCATCTTTATTATTGTTTATCTGGATGTTTACATGACAAACATTCTTCTTCCATCAGCATATTGCAATGGGGTAAAAAGAACCTAGGAGTTACATATGCACTTCCTCAGATTTGTATAAACTCATAGGAATCATAACAGAACTGCATTATATGAGCAAAAACTGTTGCATCGAAATAACGGTCAAAGTGCCGGTACCATGCTTCATCCGCAATCCTTCATGAACTTCTTTAGCATTCTATCAGAAGCTGTGGGAATTCTCGTATCTACAAGCAAAGGGACAAGCCTATAAGAAAATTCAACCATGACAGGTATTGCTGTATACCATAAAACCAGAGTAGAAAGCAAGTTATTCAACTAACAAAAAGAGGAACCAGGGGAGAGAGAGACGGAGATGAAAGCTTCCCAAATGAAAATGACAAAGATTGTAAAATCTATATAATGATGCTATGCTCTGCAATCCAACAACAAACCTGTTTACCCTTATTTGCATATTGGGATCTTGTACCGCGGCCTCTCTAAGCCAATGACCTTGCTCTCCTTCCGTAAGGATTTATATTATTTTAGACACATTAAGCTTTAATGCAAAGAAACAGAGAACAGGATATCAGTCTCAACTGATACCATGATGCTAATTGACGAGGGTAAAAAATCACGATGACTATGGGAATAACCAGTACGAGCAATGTTTTGATATATTCAGAATGAGAATGGGGGAAGAAATTTAAATAATAATAAAAAATTCAAGGATACAAAAGGAGGATACAGATGAAGTTAAAATTGTTGAAGCCTGATGACTTTGTGCTGCAAAAATTTTTCAATAAACCATGTCACAAAGAAAAGGTCACTTTCGAATTCAGGTATGAGCATAATACAAGTACATAGAAAAAATCCAAGAATAACTTACCCACATCGCACTCAGATTTCTAATGGTAGTCAGGACTTTTCTCGTTTTCAGAATATCTGCCCACTCTAGCATATTTTCTGTTAGTAGAAAGATCCTCTTCATATATGTCACGAGATATCAAAGGATCATATCTATCCTCAAAAGTATTTTGTACCACAGAGTTTGAACTATGATTCTCATATGTGTACCTATCCCTTCTAACTTTTGAATTCTCACTCGAATTTGACTGAGAAGATGATCTATTATCACGATACTTGGATATGCTAGAAGATGACCAACTGATTTCACGGTGCTTGGTCTTTCTCACCTCCAGATCATCTCGTTCCCTGTGATGACGAATCTGTCCGTGTGCCCATCCAGGATTTCTGCGACTCTCTGGACTTCTGGAATGTTTCACCATATCATGTCTGTCCCTACTGTCACTTCTATGATCTTCTAGATAGTGATGATGTCCCTGAAGACTCCGTCTTAGTTTTTTGCTACCTTTGGCAGAAGCATCCTTGGATGTTGCAGAATCAATAGCATAATAACTAGAATGGGACTGTTTCCTGCTATGACTTGGGCTACATCCAGCTGAGTCATAATTGCTTTTTGTTGGCTTTTCAGCATCGGTGGTGATTTCAGGAGCTGATGGTAGTTCAAATGGAAAGCTCCCTTCCCCTTCAGTTCCTTTCTCAAAGCACCCAATCCCTCCAGCTTGCTTGATTTCCTCCATGTACTCCTCTATAATATCCCTCATAACCTTTGGAAAATATAAAAGTAAATATCAACTGTTGGTAAAATAAAAAAGGAGGGAAAACTGTTGGCATCCATGCTTCAACGGGGAAAATATGTTGGTGTGATTTTTCTTTAGTTGCAAAAGTAAAATTATAAACCTAAGCCTTACCTGCAAAGTTGTTCGCTTCACCTTTTTTCCACGATATGACATTCTTCGTCTTTTGTAGTCTCTTTCTTCTGCCAATAACTCCTCTCTAGTCTTAGTCTTGTTTGTTTCCTTGTGTACAACCAACAAAGAAGAAAGAATTTGTGAGATTTAAGAACGAAAATAACCTGTACTTTATAACCAAACTTATTTCTAAGAAGTTAGATTCAAGATAACGATCTGATTACAGCATCATATAATCAAGCATGAAGAACCAAATTACAGGAATTTCAGGCTATCACTAGGTTTATTCTTCAGCTAATTACAGCCATACTGTAAATGCACTTACCACTACAAGAGACAAGATCTTCAATCATGATGAGATAAATCTCTCTACTGCTTCAATTATTTCAGATCTCTCTGAGAACCATTTACTTAATAATAATGGCAAGAAAAAGTCCTAAAACCCCAGCAGGCTTAGTCAAGTATCTGCATCTATTCCACATGTATATTGGCAAGTTGTGAGTTCCCTTCCTTTACATTCAAAGTGTTCTTAGTCTTAAATTTGTATGTTTTGCTATCTATACAAACATGAATTGCACCTCTCGGCACTTTCTGAAAAACTTATATATTTACTGAGACAGAGTGAGAGTAAAGGTAGGAAACGACTACGAAGTAGAGATTAAATCAAGTTCAAAAAGAAATTGACTATAATGTAGTAGTTTCCGGTTAGAAACCAATTTCTGCAAACTCGAAAATATGTAACTAATTACCCTACAAGTTCCCACTAGAGAAGAATACAAGTATCATGTCCCTGTTAATTTGTCTAGGAATAATGCTATTATCAGGTACCTGGTTACATGATTGCTGCCGAGGGAGCCCATCATGGTCAATAATAGGTCTATATTGACCTCGGTTTTTCCGCTTCTCATCAGCTCTCTGTGACACATAATCATGATCAACCATCCTGCAAGTAAAGAGGGAAACATGAGAAACTTAGCATTTATTAAGCAACACAAAAATCAGTATATATGTCAAACAATGTAAGTGACATAACAACTTAGTTGGAACAAATGTTGACAAAGAGACAGTTTGCTCCAAACAACAATGTATCGGCTGGTTTACAAAAGCTTTATATGGTGATTTGTAACAGTGGCAGATCCCTGCCGTTTTCAATTACTAATGCTTCTTATAAAGCCCTTTGTTTAATATCTCTTTCTATTGACCTCCTGTAGTTTTTGGTGGGTGTTGGCTAAGTGTATGTTCTTCCCGTTATTGCCATATACCCTTCGAGACATCCAGAAATCTTGTTTACATGCAGCAGAAACAAATGCTGGAGTGCCTAAGGACACCATTCAGAAGGATTTGGAGAAAAAATTAAAGACAAGACAGATCTGCGATCATAAGTGGAGAAGCAATAAGATGAGGGCCACCAATACCAACAGTCAGCATGTTAACCCATATATGAATTTAGGGTGCATGAGCAGTGATATATTTACCTGTAGATTGACAAGCATAAACCTTGACAAAGATTAATTAAGGGAGCATTTTCAATTACTGCATTTCCTTTTTTCTTTTCCTTTTCTTTTATAAAAGTTATACGCTTCAACTAGATTTTCAACAGGCTAAAAGCAAACCTGAAAGCAAGCTGAATATAAAAAGAAATTGAGCAAAGTGGTATACCGTTGATATCTAGAAAAGGTTTGTGAAACCCGTTGTGCCTTAAGTTTTTCTTCTAGCAAGAACCTCTCATGCAATGCTGCAACGGCTGCTGCAACCTGGGACACAAATACCACCCTACTGATAATGTTTTCCTTCACCATGCTATTCCCTCCACCATCTGTACTTAGTGGTTTCATAACTTCAGCATCCCTAACACCACTGCCATTGGCATCCAAATTCAACGAACCCTCTTCTAAAGCAGGATACTCTGTCACCTGTTGCTCCAATGGGAAAGTTAAGGAGCCCAGTGCAGCATCTAATAAGCATTTCTTAAGGACGTTTATGACAAATAATTTCCCATTCTGTGCACCATACAGTATGGAAAGCTGAGAGGCTAGCCACATCAAAGCTTGAACCAAAGTGGGACACTCAAAATGCGTACTCTCTGGATCTCCTTCCTTTACCTTACTTAAAGCTTCCCTTAAAATAGCCTTCAAGCACAGCCTGGAAAGCAAAAATATATGATCCCTCATGGCCACATCAATCACAATGCCATATTGTGGTGAATTTGCAATTATCCATGTGCCTACATCATACTCTTTAACCACACCCAACCCCAAAATGGCACAAAGAACGCGGTACGAGTACGTAAAAGGAAACTCATTCCAGCTCTCAACTTCGGTTTTAATAGCCCACAACTCAGATGGAAGAATTCTACACCACGCTTTCTCAAAATCCGTAATTTCTCTCTCTCCTCTACCAATAAAATTTGCACACTCAACAGACAAAATCAATGGAAGTGTAAACATTCTGTTGACACCATCCAGACCAGAAAAGTTAACAACACCAGGGCAGTCACTGTAGAAGAAATTTGAACCAAAATCTGCATAATAATGCTCCAAAGACAAGCACAGGTCAGCCTCTGAGCCATGAAGAGTTTGGAGAAAACTTTTTTCAATTTGAGATTGGTCAGAGGATTTGAGAGTTTTGGGGTAATTGAGGTGCGGGAGAGGGTGAGGATGAGATGGGCAGTGGAGGGAGTGGGAGAAAAGGGAGTGAGGTTGCACACGGTGGTGGGGGTTGAAAGGGCAGGGGATGAGGGAACTCTGGGGGTTGTTATAATTTGGGTTTTCAAGAGGGAGGAGGGCAGAAAGTGAGTCAAGGGTCTGGTAAGAGTCGCGAACGAGGCTATCGAGAGATGAAATTGTGGTAGAAAGGTCAGGAGGAGGCAAAGGAGGAGTGGGGATTGCAGGTTGTGTGTTTTGTGGCTGAGAGTGGAAGAAGTTGGGGTTAGGATTAGGATTTGAGGGAATGAGAGTGAAGGATGGGTGGGCAAATTGAGCAGGAGGACGGTTCATGGCAGATTCTAACAAAGCTCCACCTTCAAAATTAACAAAATTTCCGTCTGAAATATTATCTGATGCAATACAAAAAGAGGGGTCAGAAGTTCCTAACAAGATCTCAGTAATTTCATTAATTTCTTTTTGTTACGTTGCTATTGATTTCATGAATTAAACCACAATCTCAGTAAATATTTCACCAACCATTTTCAAACCGCCAAAACAAATCTTAGCTTGTTTTACGACCCTAGAAAGCTAACGACAGTGTCTTTTAGCTTTACAAGTTCAAATGAGACAGAGAGAGAGTTACCCGATGCTGAATCTACTGTTACGTCGTTTGCTTCGCTTCAGCTTGAAAGAAGCGAGAGCTGAGACCGCGGTAATGGAATGAGGCAGATTGCAGGGCCTTCCGTTTTCCTTTTTATTTGGACGTTGGAAGGTTGAAGAACACCAGTCGACGACGTCGTATACCATTGTTCATTCATTTACAACGTGGCACCATCTAACTAAATTATGTCCTTAACTGCAAAAGGATCCCTTGGCAATTTGCCAATAGTAATACTTTCGAATTTGACAACAGAGCTTGGGTCAGTTCGAGAATTAGGCTAAATATAAAATGCCGTTTTTACCCTACTAGATTACGCAAGCAGAAAAGGGCATTATTGACTATTCTCACTTCATTTCTGCTCTAAATCACTCAATTTTCGCAAATAACTCGAATCGATTGACAAAACGTATGTTGGCTTCCACCAAAAACTCGTTGCTCTTCTTTCTCCACCGCTCCAAACCCCAAACGCACTGCGTCCTCCTCCGCCACCTCGCCACCGTCAATGCCGCTCCACAAAACCGCGTTGTCCCCACCAAGGACGACTACTTCTCAGCCATCCAACACATTACCAACATCGTACGGCGCGACCACTTCATGGAGCGCACACTCAACAAGCTTCGCATTACCGTCGATTCCGAACTCGTCTACCGAGTCCTCCGCGCCTGCTCAGCTGCAGGCACCGAGTCACTCCGATTCTTCAACTGGGCCCGGACCCACCACCCCACCTATCACCCCACGACATTAGAGCTCGAAGAGCTGGTGAAGACGCTGGCTCGCACCAAGAAGTACGAGTCAATGTGGAAACTCCTCCAATCTATGCAAACCCATCACGGCTTAACCCTCTCTCAAGAAACCCTTTGCTTCGTTATCGAAGAATATGGCAACCACGGCCTTGTTGACCAGGCCGTTGAGCTTTTCAACCGAGCCCCCAAAACCTTTAATTGCTTGCAGACCGTGGAGGTATACAATGCTCTGCTCTTCTCGCTTTGCCAAGCTAAGCTCTTTCATGCTGCTTATGCTTTGGTGAGAAGGATGATACGAAAAGGGCTTGTCCCGGATAAGAGGACTTATTCGATTTTGGTGAATGCTTGGTGCTCCAATGGGAAAATGAGGGAGGCCCAATTGTTCTTGGAGGAGATGAGCAGTAAAGGATTTAATCCGCCGGTTCGAGGGCGTGATCTTCTCGTCGAAGGGTTGCTGAATGCCGGTTACATTGAGGCTGCTAAAGAAATGGTAAGGAAAATGGTTAAGGAAGGGTTTGTTCCTGATGTTTCTACTTTCAATTCGTTGATGGAGGCTATCTGTAAATTTGGGGAGGTTGAGTTTTGCATTGATCTGTATTGGGAAGCAAATGGTTTGGGGCTTTGTCCTGATATCAATACTTACAAGGTGTTGATACCTGCGGTTTCAAAGGTGGGTAGGATAGATGATGCATTTAGGCTTTTGCATAATTCGATCGAGGACGGGCATAGGCCATTTCCAAGCTTGTATGCGCCTATAATCAAGGGGATGTGCAGGAGGGGTCAGTTTGATGATGCATTCTGCTTTTTTAGTGAGATGAAAGTTAAGGGGCATCGCCCAAACAGGCCTGTATATACCATGCTGATCACCATGTCTGGGCGCGGAGGGAGGTTTGTTGAGGCTGCTAATTACTTGGTGGAAATGACTGAGATGGGGTTGATGCCGATTTCGCGGTGCTTTGATTTGGTTACTGATGGGTTGAAGAATTGTGGGAAGCATGATATGGCTAAGAGGATTGAACAATTGGAAGTTTCTCTCCGGGGTACATGATGTTTCAACTTGATCGAGTGTTAAGTGATGACAGTTTATTGCTGTTTGAAGCATATGACAATGATGGCGTTGCAATATGCACTGCTTCCCGAGTATGATAAAAAAGTGGGGAGGGAGAAACGATGGTGCAGGTGTATTTGATCAAGGAAGAAATGATATTGAAAAGATTGCATGTCTCTGTTCAATATGCAAACTTTGATAAATGCTTTATATGCTCAATGAGGCCAGGCATTAGTACACAGCAGGCTTTTGATTAGCAAACATCGCGTTTCAGTCAATTTGGATGCTCAACAACAGTGTGACTGCTTTGAGAACATGACAGCAAGAAGGTTAGTGAATTCAACGGGACCAAGTAAGTTCCAACTATCAGAACTGTCCGCCATTGATCATTTTATTATCTTTTGGTGAATTAGATGAAAATGCCCCTCTGCGCCCATGTGCTGCTGACGCATGCTTGGGGGCTTGACCTAGCCTTTTGATTTTATTCGTATAATTGAGACGAGTCCCTTGCTATTTATCCCCTAATGTTTTCTGTTCATAAATTGTTCTTTTTTTAATTTACACTTTTTTTTTAAATCAAAATTTGTAATCTACAATTAGCACACATATATTACCATAAATTGTAAATTAATATTGTAACAAAAGTAGTTCTAAATATTGTTATATTAATAATAACAATGTGTTTTGAGGGCTTCGGAGGCATAAAAATATACAAAAATTGTTCAATTTTAACATGCCCAAATAGATCACTACAATATAAAAGAAGCTAATTAGATGCATTCATTAAACTTGTAGCGATGCTATTTCTCAATGCTTCCATCTCTTATGTTCCATTGTCATTAAGACTATGAAGTTCTTGTTGTACATCAACATCCTCATTTATCTCTTCACTTAAGATATCATTTGAAGCATCAAAATGTCTATCACGTTGGGCATGCCTCCTTATATAATTATGAAGTGTCATTGTAGCAATGACTATCTTCACTTGCTTGTTGAATGGATAATTAGGCATATCTCTTAAAATTTTCCATCTTTTCTTCCATACTCCAAAGGTTCTTTCAATAACGCTCCTAAGAGAAGAATGAACATGATTGAATACCTCTTTATAACCAGTTGGTTGGCTTCCCCTACGAAAATCCGGGAGATGATACCTTTCGCCTTTATATGGTCCCAAATAACCTCTCATCTGTGGGTACCCTGCATCTACTAAATAATATTTCCCTGTGAAATACAACATTCATTTTTCTTAATATGTATATATAATTGGACTAAGTAAGTAATGAAAAACACAAAGGTTAATTGACCATAATT